ATTAGCAAGGAGCATTTGAAGCTACGGCGCGTTATCGTTCAGTGCTTAAAAATACAGATGAAATATATGAAGAGTGTTGCTGTGCTGCTTCATCTCTTCCAGTTCATGATTAAAATGGCTATCAGTTTTTGCTCGACTGTGACGGAAACGGCACTTCAATCGCCTTGTTTCTGTTGGTCTTGTTCATCTCCTGAACACTTAAAGGGCCATAAAGTGCATACAGATTACTTTCAAACTGCTGCTTAACCAATGTGGTGCGCACATTTTCATGTTTCAAATCCAGAAGCTGCATTTAAAAAGAATTAAAAAGCTATCTGTATCTCCAGCCGGGTATATCGCATTAGAGTGACATAAACAACTATTAATTGAAACCATCTGACTGGCGATGTCAGGTTTTCATTTCTGTCTCACGTATAGATAGTTCCTAAGTGTTTTCCTTCCTTAGACTGTAAACAGATGCTTGTACTTAAGCGGAAAAATGTAAATCTTGACGCTGGCTGTTTACGTGGTCCAAGCTTCTAATCATGCACACGTACAGTATAATTGAATGATGTTTGGTGTCTTTATGAGTGAAGCTGCATTCAGTGGGCAGATCCCTATATTAAAGCCTTTCTTATTTACCCTCCTTAAATCTGAGGTAAATACATCTCAAATCAACGAGCCTGTTAATTGGAGATTACATATTTACATAGTCTCGATTAGAAGTTGGAAGCAAAAGTACCAAACTTAATATTGTTTTTGTTTCTGTCTCCGTGCTGTTCTACAGAGCAGGGTGTGCTGAATGTTCATTTTTTCTATCCATTAAGCAAGCAGCAGTAACTTTGCTAAAAGGCACTTCTCATAAAGAAAGTTAGGGTCCGCATTTTTCCTGCCACGGAACATGTAAAAGAAAAACTCAATCTTTAAACTCCAGGTATCACAAGAGTAATTTCCCAATAAGAATAAGGATCATTATACCAGTGACACTGATAATTACGAAGCGTGGCTGCCTGATCAAAGCTTCCTTGTCCCTTATTTATACAGGAAATGAAAACACAAACAAATAAACAGTGAACCAATTTGCTTAATTATGCACAGCTTCTCGTCAGAGACCAACCTCAGCGTAGTTCTTCACATTTGAACCATACAGGCAAGGTTTGGACCCTCTCCTGTGATCTCCGAGAGCCTGTATAATCTAGAGGTGGACTTGTTGCTCAAATTAGTGGGTAGAGAAGTGTGCCACATGTTCAGTATCCATAAATATTGACTCTGGCTTTCTAGCTGGCCGTCTCTGACCTTGGTGGGTTTCCATTTTGGGACTAACCTATACAAAATGTGTCCCATTTAGCCACAATCTCTTCCATGCACCCCGCGCACATGTTCAGCTTCGTTCGGCAGGCATGCTTCTGCTGTCAAACACATGTGGATTGATGAAGTTTTTATTAGATTCTAAATTAAAAAGACAGCTTTGCTTGAGGGCAGAATTAGAAGCGAGTCACAGCGACAAATTGATTCCTGATTTTGATTCATCTGCCTAAAAGGCAGTGGAATGCAGGCTCCGTGTGTCTGGCCAAGCAAATGTTAACAGCAGGTAAAAGGCTAATGGCTGGAACCGCAGCATCATCTCAGGGTTTTGTCTGTCCACTGTGTCTTGGAATGTACACGATGACAAGAAAGGGCATCCACATCTACCACGACATGAGCACATTCACGGCATACTGTGGTATACAAAGGCATGGGCATGTGAATAACCCTGTGGAAGACAATGAGCTGTGTCTTCTTCTTTTAATCAGGACCTGTGTGTTTAAATGACATGATGTTTTCTAACCTTATCCCCCTCCAAATAACCTCAAACATTCCCGCATCAATAGATTTATTGTACTTTTGCTAGAACTTTTTAATATTACACATTGTTTCAACTCCTTAAGGGGGTTTCCATGCAAGAAAAAGATACATGTATTAGATGAGGCATGATAACACAGTGGTGGTTTTATTTTGGGTGGTGAAAGATGAATGGAATAGAAGATGAATGGAACATAATGTACTATAAAGGAAATACTTCTAAATAACTGTAAAATATATGATTGACATGGAAGGCTTTTTGTGTATCATATGCAAAGTCCAGTGTGGTGCTACTTCTCAACGCTTATCTAAGTCTCATGTCCTCTTTCATTTTTTCAGGACATTGTGAAATGTCAGAACATCACATGCAGATTCTTTTTTACTTGCAAGACAAAAGGATGGTGCAAAGAGGGAACAGCACTGTGACACTCAGATTAGTATTTGTGGGTCTGAAAATTTAAAGTTTTGCTGGTGGTAAGTATACACTGGGGGCCTTCGGGGTCAGATCACAGATAGGTCGTATTGTTCCTTAGTGTTTTGACGAAAGGATTTCCAAAAACAG